TGGGAGCTAAGCGAGCCAGAGCTCTGTCTAAGTGTAGGTCGGTTCGACAGAAGCACGGCTGCGCTCGAAGCCTCCCAAAACAACAAGGTAAACAGATAGGTGGAGAAACTTCGAGAAATCCGTTTGGAAATTCGCAAACAGTCGAAAACATCGTCGAGAGAAAACGAGAAATCAGTTCCATTTGACGAATTGTGTAGCGTCGATGCATCGTCATCGACTACCAACTGCGTTCATCCCAACCAAAGAAAATATCTCAAAAATGAGGTCGTTTTCCCAAAAGTTGTTAGGCCAATTGGTGGGGACAATAGCGGAGTTTATCTGGTAGCACCGGGGTTTAGGATAGTGCTTTCGTCTGCCAAGCCTACATCTAGCAGATATTGCTCCCGAAGAAAATCGTCGGTGTAGGCTTAGGGCAGCCATTATTTACCACTTGATTACTACATCAGCCTACTCATACACAAGTTCATTTGACCTTTTTCTCTTTTCTTCCCGTTTTCTACAAGTTACTGGCATTATTACACATTATTACATATTATCTCATGCTATTTGGCGGAGATGGGCGGAAGTGATGGAGTGGTATGTGAAGCACTATCACACGCACGGTTTGGGGTTCGAATCCCCGATCAATACAGCTCAAGGCCAACCAATCCTTCCATCCCTCTTGGTTCAATAATTGATATCAGACTCGTCTGAGAGAATGGAAGTACTGACCTGTAAACCAGTAAATCGCTGTGTGGGCCAAATACGCAATCAAAACTTCACTATGATCCTGAATGGAAGTCAAAAGCAGGGGGCATAACAAAAAAAACGAGACTGATTAACGCCAAGCACATCATCACCTTAGATACATCGCATGCTATCGCTGATTATCCTTTAGTATCACTACAGGATGCTATCTTTGAGCCCATCCATTTCTAGCGGCATGACTTCATTGAGCCCTCAATTCTACTTATCCTGGAAGCAAGACCAGGGCAAGATATTCCTTCAGTGCAATAAGCAAGCACACTGTCGAATATCAAAACTAAAGTAAAAGAATAAATAAGCAAAACAATAGTAAAACAATAAGCAACTAGGAGTAAACTGCTCTAAAACTAGGCATAGTGTGGGGAATGTCAAATAAAGCTAGAATTGCGAAAAAGGTAGGAAATTCAAAAAAAAACTGTGTGGATTTGTTCGGCAGCCAGCCAAAGATGAGCAGGGCGGCAAGAGTTTGTGCATTATCAGCATTTATGCTATAAATTTATATAGATTCCTCCATGAACAGCTCATTGTTTACTGTTTGTTTACAAGACGAAATTTTTTGGGAGATGAAATATATTTCGAAGGTGAAGCGCTCCGTAGAGGCATGCCAAATCTGATCAATCAAAACATCAGTAAAATGTCGGTGACTGTGAGAAGGAATGACAACCCAGCAGATGCACATTGATAGGGAGATCGCTCCTAATAAGAAGTACTGCAGATTATCAATTACATCACTCAGCCACGATACTGCAAAGCAGTTAAATGGGAGTAGAGGAAGAGGGTATCGAAGGAAAAGGGTGAGATTGCTGGTCGTACTGTGAGATATGTGTGCAATCTATCAATGGTCCAAAAAAAAAAGATCTGCAAGCTAGGAATACTCGATAGGAACGCATTATTTTACAAGATGATCAGCTGTTCTCATTGATGTTCATTATTTGCTGAGATCGGTCGATCCTCTTGATAAAACAGCAAAGACCAATGAAACCACTTGATTGAACCGAACAGATATCAAACTCTTTGTGACTCGTTCGCCTATGTCATGCTGTCCAAGGCTAGGGAGCCTCTGCCTGTTATTATGCGATATGACATGTTATCATACATTACAAATGTCTTACTGCATCAGATATGACTGCAACCTTTCTTCTAAACAAATTTACACGACGGAACTGTTGACATAATACTGGAGATCCTTATGGTATCTTGTTCTACAAAGGGTAAAGATCGCTAGGTATGCTTTGGGACCCTTTGGGATGGAGAATAGCCTGACAATTGATTGAATAGTCCAGTAGAGTGAAATCTCACTGTGAACATTTGAGTGAAAAGTTCGAAGCCACTCATGCATCCCTTCCGTCTCCATAAAATCAGCTTGGCTCTATGAGATGATGGCAACGGATAGGGCAACAAATAGGAGATATAAATTAGGAGAACGGTCGGCAGCTGTACTGCTCTGACTGCAAACCTTGAAAGAGCACGTATGAGGGGCTATCACGAATAAAAAGTTGAAGAAGGTATTCTCGAAAGATTACTAGAAGTAAAAAGAACCGAGCTTGTTGTCGATCCTGCTTTCATCTACTTCTAGGATCTCTTCCCGAGTGGAAAAGGATACTATCATTAGCTCCTTTCCCACATATTACATCGACTGAATAAGCAACATTGGGAGCTAGGTAGTTCAGGAAAAGACTCGTTATTGGAAAATTGTACCTTCTAGGGAACCAGACATCGTTTTTTATGTTAATTTGAATCAGATATGAACCCGATACTTCAACACCAGGGAACCTTCTTCAAAAGGTAAGAAATTTACGAACTCTGGACCATCCCATGTATTGATTTCACGGATTCACATCTTGAAAATATGTTTTCAGCAGCCACAAACAACAAAACGAGTCATATACTCGAGTACTATGCTCAACTGCTCTCCTCTCAAACGGGTTTCTAGCATTTTATTGTGACCTCAAACAGGTGGGGGAGGGGGGGG